ACAGAGCAAAGGGAGCAGGCGGAGGGGCTGGAGGTGACGGGGCTGGGGGTGACGGGGCTTGAGGAGCAGGCAGAGGGGCTGGGAGTGATGGGGCTGGGTGCGACAGAGCAAGGGGAGCTGGCAGAGGGGCTGGGGGTGACAGAGCTCGGGGAGCAGGTGGAGATGGGAGTGATGGGTCTGGGGGTGACGGGGCTGGGGGATGCCGCGATGGGGCTGGTGCAGCGATGGAGTTGGCGGTGACAGAGCTCGGGGACGGAGCTGATGGGGCTGGCAGTGGCGGATTTTGGGGAGCAGGCAGAAGGGCTGGCAGCGATGGGATGGTGGTGGTTGTGGCTGGGGGCAGCAGAGCTGCTGGGCTGGGCGGTGATGGGGATGGACGTGATCAGCTCGGGGGCAGGATGGCGGGGCTGGAGCAGGGATCGCTGGATGGGCTGGGGTCGCTGTGGGGAGAGCGCCTGGGGGCTGCAAAATGGGGTGTGGGGGTGCAGCATCCCCCCAGAGAGCAAGCGAGGGGCTGGGGGCAGCTCTTCACCCCCTCCAGAGGCGATGCCAACAGCGGCACCACGCTGAGGGTGCAGCAGGGACCCCGGGCAGGGAGCGCCCATTCCGAGCCGGGCAGGGCTCTGGGGAGCCGCTTGTCCCCATCCCGTTGGGGCTGTCGCTGTGCCCTGGGGCCTGTGGGTTGGCATGCTGGGGGGACACACCCCAAATTTACTGGTTTGGGGTATCTGCTCCGCTCCCACTCCTTCCCCTGCTGCAGGAGACAAGGGCTGGAGCGAGCAGAGACAGGAGGTGCTGGGGCAGGGTGACGCGGTGCTGCAGGACACCAAAGTGCCCCAAATGCTGGGGTTTCCCCCCACCCCGCAGCCCTGCCTGTGCCGCATTGCTGGGGCCTGGCTGCGGTGTCCCCGTGCCTCAGTTTCCCCACGTGGCAGGGCACGCTGCGCCACAGGCGCTGCCAGCTCTTTGTTCGCTGGCTGGTGGGGTGGGGTGGCTGGTGGTGGGGATGGTGTCCCACAGAGACCCCCAGCCATCCCACTGCCCCAGCTGGTCTTGTCCCATCTTCACCAGAGTCAGCAGGACCAAAACCTTGGTGTGGGTCTGAACCCCAATTAAACAGCCCCTGTGATTTGGGGTTCACAGGAGCGGGGTGGGGCAGGGAAAATCCCTGCACCTGCTCCCAAAGGGGCTTTTCTTCATCTCCTGCCTGGAGAAAAGGGTGGGGGACAGTGACAGCGGTGTCCCTGTCACAGTGCACATCCTGGGGTGCGAGAAGAGGTGGGGACCCAAAGGCTGAGTGGGGCTGAGACCCAGCAAACTTATTCAGTGTGGGCTCCAAGGGTGGCTCAGCCCTGACCCCACAGAGTTCACACTGACCAGGGGCTCTGCACCTTCGGGATCACCTGCTGCCATCCCCTCTCCTTCCCAGCTCATCCCAGGGGAAACTGAGGCACAGTGGGGCGGCTCAGCTCCATCCTTGTCCCCATCCCCGGCTGTGGGCACGGCCTGGGGTGTGGGAGGGCTCTCACGCGCCTCGTGAGGGGCCGTGGGCTGCTCCCCTGACCCCCCTCCTTTGCCTTCCAGCGTCATTGAGAACCAGCCGGAGCTCACGACCTTGACCCGAGCTGACACCAGGCTGCTGCGGGACCTCAGGAACCTGTGAGCACCCCGGGGGTGGGGTCCCTGCACCGGGAAATGGGGGCAGCGAGGGGCTGGGGTGGAGGGGGGATCCCCAGAGCTCAATCCCCCTGCAAGGAGCCGCAGGGGACGCTCCCAGAGCGGAGATTCAGGACTCAGGTGCTCAGCCCTTCCCTCCTTTCAGCACCATCTCCAGCTCGGGGCTGCAGCACATCTCTGCCGATGCCTTCCTGGACACCCCCAGGCTGAGCCACGTGTGAGTGTCCCCTTCCCCCGTTCGGGGTGAGCCCCCGGGGCGCTGTCCCCGCTGCGGGGTGGCCGCTCCCGGTGCCCGGCCGGGATCGATGCTGTCCCGCTGCCCGCGGGCACATCAGCCCGGCCGGGGGGGGCTGTGCTGCTGAGTGGGAAACCATCGATCCGGGCATCGATCCTGGCCCCCCCGGCAGCCCTGTGATGCCCCCCGAGAATGGGGGGACCCTGTTGTGGGGTGTGGGGCTGGTGGCACGCCTGGCAGAGCTGGTTTTGCTTGGTCACGGTGTGACAGCACCGGTGCTGCCACCAGAGCCGCTGCGGGGGCTGGATGGGAGTTTGAGTGGGAAGGGGCGGCTGATGGGGGCTGTCCCAACAGGAATCTCTCCTCCAATGCACTGCAAAGCCTTTCCTGGAAAACCTTCTGGCATCTGCCCCTGCAGGAGCTGTGAGTGATGAGGGAGAGGGGGGAGGTGGGTGCAGAGCATCTCCCACTGGGGATGTGCCCCTCAAGTGACACAGAGCTGGAGGGGGCAGTGAGATGGTGGCTGTCACATCCTCGGGTGGCCAGGGGTGGCACATGGGGCATGTGTGGCACAAAGCTGGAGGCTGGGGGTGCCCAGGTGCAGCCTTGGCCGACTCTGCTGGGACACACACAACCGTGTGGGGCCTGGAGCCCTTTTGATCCTGTGTTCTCTTCCCTGCTCCATCTCAGCATCTTGGTGGGAAATCCCTTCAACTGCTCCTGTGGCCTGCGCTGGCTGCAGCTGTGGCACAACAGCAGCCGGGCCGAGCTGGGCAACCAGTCCCTGCGCTGCTGGGAGGGCACTGTGCCCGTGCCCCTGGGCAGCCAGGCTCTCCCTGCCTGTGGTACGTGCCTGGCGATGGCTTTGACCCCTGGGTTTGTCCCCTGTCCTGAGCCGTTTGGCCGGGGATGGCAGGGACAGGGGGACACGCGTGGCTCAGCCTCCCTGCCCCTGCAGACCCCCCGAGCGTCCGCATCGAGCCCCCCGAGGCGGTGCTGCGCCAAGGGGACAGTGTCAACCTCACCTGCCACATCAGCGCCAGCCCACCGGCCACCGCGGAGTGGGTGGTGCCCGAGGTGGTCCCCGAGGTGGGACCCGAGCTGCTCGCTGTCACCAAGGCAAGCTCAGCCTTCCAGGGGGTGGCCCCAGCAGGGCTGACCCCCCCACCCCAGCATCCTCTCACTGCTGGGTGGGCACAGGGGGATGCAGGGGCTGGCCAGGCTTGGGGGTGGCATCTGCTCATCCCATCCTGGTGTTCCCCGCAGCTCTCAGACTGGGAGATCGTCCTGGAGATCAACAACGTCTCCTCCCACCTCAACCACAAGGACTTGGTGTGCCGGGCAGAGAACGCGGCGGGGCTGGCAGAGGACAGCGTGATGCTGAACGTCACCTGTGAGGAGCCCAGAGGGGGCTGGGCTGGGGGCTGGGCAGGGGGTCTGCCTCAGGAACCCACCCGGCTCTGTCTCTGCCAGTTCCCCCCGTGATTCTGCTGCTGGACACGGCCATCCCGCGGCATTCCTGGTGCATCCCCTTCTCCGTGGACGGCTACCCCGTGCCCAGTATCCACTGGCTCTTCAACGGCACCCACCTGCTGGAGGGGCCCTACATCCACACCCTCATCATGGAGTACGAGCACAACTCCACCGTCCTCCACGGCTGCCTCCAGCTCAACCGTCCCACCCACGTCAACAACGGCAACTACACCCTGGTGGTGCACAACGCCCTGGGCTCGGCCTCGCGCAGCGTCCACGTGCGCTTCATGGACAACCCCTTCAGCTTCAGCCCTGAGGAGCCCATCCCCGGTAGGTGCCCATCCCCAGGGGCTGCCCGGGGTGTCCCCCGGCTTGGCGAGGAGCTGTGTCACACCTGGTGAGCAGGACGGGTTGTGTCGGGCTCTGCCTGTTGTGCCTCAGTTTCCCCAGGGATGAGAGGGGGAAGGATGGGCTGCTCCCACCTGAGGAATAACGAGTGTTTCTCCTTTCTCTCCCTTTGGGCTGCTCCAGTGTCTCTGTCTCCACGGGGTGAGTGGCCAGGATTGCTGCCCCAGGCCCCCCTAAACTGGGCATTCCACCCATCCTGGGGTGTCCAGGTCCTTGCCAGGGCCACTTCGGGGGGATGGGGACCCCACACTCACCCTGCACCTTCTCCCTGCCCCAGGCACCAGGAACAGCTCGCTGGAGGGGCCTGTGGAGACAAAGGATGAGCACACGTTTGGGGTGAGGAGAGGCTCTGCAGTGTGGGATGGGGGGGACCGGACACCTGCGAGAGGGTGGGACAAACCCCGTGGGGACCGAGTGGGATGTGGGTTATGCAACGGGGATGAAGGACCGAGTCTCGGTGCCTCAGTTTCCCCTGTGGCATCTCCTGGGGCTTGTAACCATCTCACAGCTTGTTCCCACCCCACGGGCTGAGAAAAGGGACCTGGTGGGACTGGTCCCGAGCGCTGTCCTCGCTGCCAGCAGGTCTCGGTGGCCGTGGCGCTGGCTGTGTTCGCCTGCCTCTCCCTCTCTGTCATGCTCATCCTGCTCAACAAGTGCGGGCGCCGCTCCAAGTTCGGCATTAACCGTGAGTCCCCCCAGCCTGGCGGCTCAATATTCGGGCTGTGACACGGGGACAGCCCGGTCCCCGCGTCCCTGCGGCACCTGGGCTGGGTCACAGGTGTGGGAAGAGGGACTCTGGGTGGGGGGACACCCGTGGAGAGGTGCTGGCTCCCCCGGGAGTGTGGGCAGCAGCTGCTAATTCACTCCTGGAATGGATTCAGCCTCTAAATGGTTTTGATCGGGCTGCCTGGCCCCCGGGGGCCGACGAGCAGGGGGTTGCTCGGCAGAGCCTGGCACTGGTTGCACAGGCTGGGGGGGCTGGGGGACCCTCTGATGGCCTTGTCCTTGTCCCCACAAGGCTCAGCGGTGCTGGCCCAAGAGGATGACCTGGCCATGTCCCTGCACTTCATGAACCTGGGCAGCAGCCCCCTTTCCTCGGCCGAGAGCAAGCTGGAGGGGCTGAAGAGCAACTTCATCGAGAACCCCCAGTACTTCTGCAACGCCTGTAAGGCTTGGGCTGGGGACTGCTGCCCCCGAGCACCCCCCCGAGCTCCCACCCGACCCGGGGGGCACTGACGGGTGGGGGTCCCCCCAGGCGTGCACCACGTGCAGCGGCGGGACATCGTGCTGAAGTGGGAGCTGGGCGAGGGCGCCTTCGGGAAGGTTTTCTTGGCCGAGTGCTACAACCTCCTCCCGGAGCAGGAGAAGATGCTGGTGGCTGTGAAGGTGAGGAGGGGGCGCGGGGTGGGGGCCAGGGGGTCTCTTGGGGGGGGTGTCACTGACGCCGTGTCCCGGCAGGCGCTGAAGGAGGTGACGGAGAGCGCCCGCTTGGATTTCCAGCGCGAGGCCGAGCTGCTGACGGTGCTGCAGCACGAGCACATCGTCAAGTTCTACGGCGTGTGCACGGAGGGCGAGCCCCTCATCATGGTCTTCGAGTACATGAAACACGGCGACCTCAACCGCTTCCTCAGGTGGGACGGGGGGGGACACGAGCCCCCCATCTGCCTCTCCATCAGCGCAGCCAGCCTGCTCCCTGCTAATGCAGCCCTCCTTGCAATATTGATTAGATTAGCTGTCTGAGAGGCTTAAATAGAGAGAGATTGGCCATCAGCTGGAATAAGCAGAGACTTTTCGATTGCCCCCCCAGGTATTGCTGCTAGACGGGGGGGGCTGCCAGAGGCATCGCTTTAGTGGCCGCGCGAGGAGCTCTGAGACGTGGCTTTTATGATTATTGTTATGGGAGTTGGCATTAATGGTTCTGCCGAGCAGAGCTGCCCCAGCCCCCGGCCACGGCCGCCCCGGCCGGGCTGTCAGCCGCGCTCGCCATCAAAGGCACCGAGGGGCTGCGGGCGGCCGGAGCCGCGCTGGCCCCCGGCTGGGCTCGCACGCCCCACTTCACACAGGCTGCTGCTTTCACACCCTCCCCGCGTGCCCTGGCACGCCACCTTGCACCCTGACCTGCTGCCTTGCACCCCGACCCACTGCCTCCCACCCTGACCTGCTGCCTTGCACCCTGACCTGCTGCCTTGCACCCCGACCCACTGCCTCCCACCCTGACCTGCTGCCTTGCACCCTGACACGCCACCTTGCACCTTGACCTGCTGCCTTCTGCAGGGCCCATGTGTGTGCACAGGTGTGTGTGCTCTCACTGTGTGCATGCACAGGTGTGTGTGCCCTCCCCTGTGCATGCACAGGTATGTGTGCATTCCCTGTGTGTGCACAGCTGTGCGTGCCCTCCCCGTGTGTGTGCACACGCCTGCCCTCCCCGTGTGTGTACACAGGCGTGCAAGCCCTCCCTGAGTGTGCACAGGCCCTGCCCCGTGCGCACACACAGGTGTGCACACCCACACACGCCTCTCCCCCGTGAGTGTGTGACTCCCCTGTGCGCACACACGCATGTGAGCACGTTTCCCTCCCGTGTTTCCCTCCTGTGCACGCTCCCTTCCCTGGCACACATTCCACGCCTCTCCCCAGTGTGCCCGCGTGCCAGGGGAGGATGAACATGTGTGTGTGTGTGTGTGTGTGTGTGTGTGTGTGCTCTGACCCCCCCGGAGCATCCTCAGACCCCCGCTGGACTCTGCACCCCACGCCCTTCCCCAGCCACCCCTCACTGCTGGGACCCCCCTGCATTATTTATTGCAGCCAAGGCGTGGGTGCCTTCCTCCCCCACGTGTGCACACACACACAGACACACACACACGTGCACACCCTCCTCTGGTGCTGCCTTCCTCCCCCACGTGTGCACACACACACAGACACACACACACACACGTGCACACCCTCCCCTGGTGTGTGTGAGCACCCGTGCTTGCCTGGACACACATGAGCACCTTTCCCCACGTGCCAGCCCTTTATTTTTACCCTTTTCCCTTGTCCAGGGAGTATGGAATCGGGGCATCCCCCATGATGCGCTCTGACCCCTTGGTTCAGAGTGCTGAACAATTGCTTTATTAAGCTATATTACACTAATCTATACTAAATTACATGCTAAAAAGATACTATACTAAAGAAAAACCCGTCTGCAGACAGTCAGACACAGCTTTGAGTGATTGGCTAATCACTCAAGACAACTTTCACCCGTGTCCAGTACCCAAATCACTTTGTGTAGACAATCTCCGTAACACATTCCACATGTGCGAAAACAGGAGCAGTGGATAGAGATAAGAATTGTTTTCTCTCCTTCTCTCTGTGTGGTGGAGTCACCATCCCTGGATGCATTTAAAAAAAACCTGGATGCATTTAAAAAAAGCCTGGATGTGGCACTAGGTGCCATGGTTTAGTTGAGGTGTCAGGGAACAGGTTGGACTCGATGATCTTTGAGGTCTCCTCCAACTTTCTGTGATTCTGTGCTTCTCCCTGCCTTACCAGGAGAAATCCTTGGGGAAGCTGTGCCCGCTGCTCTGTGCGAAGAGAGCAGCGGGCACAGGGGAGCAGAGCCTCTCTGTGCCCTCCAAGCAGCCCCTGTGCCCTGCAGGTCCCACGGCCCAGACGCCAAGATGCTGGAGCAGGGCCCGGGGCAGCCGCGGGGGCCGCTGGCGCTGGGCCACATGCTGCACATCGCCACGCAGATCGCCTCGGGCATGGTCTACCTGGCCTCCCTGCACTTCGTGCACCGCGACCTGGCCACCCGCAACTGCCTGGTGGGCCACGACCTGGTGGTGAAGATCGGCGACTTCGGCATGTCCCGGGACATCTACAGCACTGACTATTACCGGGTGAGCTGCTCTCTGCTCTGGGCTGGGAGGCCACGCTCAGTTTTCCCTCGTGGCTGCTGCCTCCCGCCCCTTCTCCATCCACGTTTAAGCACAGAGTGGGTTGGGTTGGAAAGGATGCTTGGAAACATTCCAAGAACAGGTTGCTTGCTCCAAATCCTGACCTTGAGTATCTCCGGGGATCCAGGGGCAGCCACAGCTTCTCTGGGCAACCTGTGCCCTCAGAGTAAAAAATTTCTCCCTTACATCTAACCTGGGGCTTAAGGGATGGGGGAAGGGAAGCAGGAGGGTCCCTGCCGTGCTGACAGCCCTGCCGTGGGCAGGTGGGGGGCAGGACCATGCTGCCCATCCGCTGGATGCCTCCTGAGAGCATCCTGTACCGCAAATTCACCACCGAGAGCGACATCTGGAGCTTCGGCGTGGTGCTCTGGGAGATCTTCACCTACGGGAAGCAGCCCTGGTACCAACTCTCCAACACGGAGGTGAGCGAGGGGGCAAGGAGGATGGTAACAGCACCCCGGGGGTACCCAGGGCAGGGCAAGGAGGGTAACAGCCCCCAGGGGTACCCAGAGTGGGAAAAGAGGGTGGTTACAGCCCCCTGGGGGTACCCAGACTGGGGCAAGGGGGATGGTAACAGCCCCTGGGGGTACCCAGGGCAGGGCAAGGAGGGTAACAGCCCCCAGGGGTACCCAGAGTGGGAAAAGAGGGTGGTTACAGCCCCCTGGGGGTACCCAGAGCAGGACAAAGATGGTAACAGCCCCCCCAGAGTAGGGGGATACCCAAGATAAGGCAAGGAGGATGGTAATAGCTCCCTGGGGGTACCCAGAGGGGGGAAGGAGGATGGTAACAGCCCCCTTGGGAGTACCCAGAGTGGGAAAAGAGGGTGGTTACAGCCCCCTGGGGGTACCCAGAGTGTGGGGGTACCCAGAGTGGGGTACCCAGAGCAGGGTAAGGATGGTAACAGCACCCTGGGGGTACCCAGGGCAGGGCAAAGATGGGAACAGCCCCTGGGGGCACCCAGAGGGGGACAAGGAGGATGGTTACAGCCCCCCCAGGGGTACCCAGAGCAGGGGATCCCATCTCCATCCCCTTCCTGCAGGCCATCGAATGCATCACGCAGGGCCGGGAGCTGGAGCGGCCCCGCACGTGCCCCTCCGAGGTCTATGCCATCATGCAGAGCTGCTGGCAGCGGGAGCCCCAGCAGCGCCAGCCCATCAAGGAGATCCACAGCCGCCTCCAGGCCCTCGTCAAGACACCCCCGGTGTATCTGGACATCCTGGGCTGAGCGGGGACCCCCAGGCACCCTCTGCTCCCTGCTGTTCCCCTGCCTGCCCTGCTGCCCAGGGCCACGGCTTTGCCCCACGCAGCCCTGGACTGATGCCCCGAGGCGGGAGAAGCCTGAAATCTTATTTATAGTGAGGAATGCCAGCCCTCTCCCGGGGTGGGGGGGCTGGAGGGCCGGGCTGGGGGACCCCCAGGGCTGTGGCCCTGCTGCCTGGCTCCTTGGCATGCCCACCGTGCCAGGATGGAGGCTCTTGGCTGATGTGGGGGGCAGAGCTGGGAGACCCCAGCACGGGGTCGGTGCCAGCAGGAGCTGGGGGGGCTCAGCTCACCTGGGGGAGTTGGCATTGCCCCATGCTCGCCCGCTCTGCAGTGAAATCAGTCACCAATAAACCGTGTCTCCCCTGCACCGGCCCCTGCGTGCTCCGGGGTGTCAGCTGGGCACGGGGAATGGGGGCATTTTGGGGAGAAAAAAGGGGTTTTTCACATCAGGGAAGCTGCCCTGTGTGGGGGAGAGGAGCGGGAGGGGAGGTGCTGTGCCAGGGACCCCAGTATGAGGGTCAAGGCGTCACACACGCCCGGGATGCTGTTTTGTACCCCGGGGCAGGGTGGTGTCCCCATCCCCAGCCCAGCCAGGGATGGTTTTGGCTGTGCCAGGGATTCCTGTGCCACACCCTGGCCTGGGGAGTCTCCTTGCCGAGGGCTCCGGGTGGAAGATGGGATTTTCCAGCACAAAGCCAACATCCACCCCCCAAAAGAGTGACATCCCCCCTTCCCTGTGTCCTGTCATCGGCACCAGGGGTTATCACATGCCCTGCAGCATCCACTCCATCATCCCTCCTCAGGCCCTCCAGCCGCCTTGGTAATGGTTGAGACCTGGATTTGACCATAATGGAGCTGAATTGATTTCATCTGGATAATTAGGCAGCACAGGCAGAGCCCTGGCAGCTCCTTTGTTACCCCCTGTGACCCGAGATAAGCAGGAGGAAAGCGAGGTCGCGGGGGAAACTGAGGCACGGCACAAGGTGGGAGCACTCAGGGGGGCTGTGGTGGGGTTTGGGGCTGCCGTGGCACCTGGCTGTGCCCAGTGGCTGCTGTGGCACCATGACAACGGGAGGAACTGGGAGCTCCCAGCCCGTAATGCAGCCCTGCAGCAGGGTCAGACCCTCTGGATCTTTGCTGAGGGTCCTGCCCGGGAAACGAGGACCTGGCGTGGGCAGGGCGGCTCTGCTGGAGCTCAACCCGGCTGGCAGAGCCCCCCACCTGCTTCCTTGGGGTCTCTAATCGCTGCCCACGCTGATTTATGGCCTTTTTTTTCCCTCTTATCTAATTTGAGGAAGGAACTAGATTACAACCTTGAGCTTTTCCAGCCCCGTGCTGGAGATTGCCGCAGAGCAATGCCCCAAAAGGACCGTGTGCGGTGACACCCCCTCTCCAACCAGGGTGGGCTTCCCTGCATCTGTGCCGCAGATTCCTTCGTGGCGCGGCAATGCCTCGTGGGCGTGGCCGTGCCTCAGTTTCCCCCCTCAGAGCGGTCAGGGAAGAGTTAAGGTTCACCCCGCGATCGATTTTATCCCCCCTGCCCCTCCCTCGTAGCGAAGTTTCTCCATTTCACAGCTCCGGGGGGAGCGGTAATGGACTCTGGCAATGAGGTAATTAACGGCTCCGCTCCCTGGCGAGGCTGCCGCCCCAGCGGCACCGGGGCCGGCCCCGCTCTCCCGCTTTCATCGGGGCTGGGGCTTCCCGGGCCCGGTTCTGCTTCGTGGTGGTCGCCACTCACATCGTGCCCCGCGGATCCCATCCCTCCCGCGCCCCGCTGCCACCAGCTGTGACCCTCTGCCCTTTGGAGGGTCCCACTCCATCCCAAAAGCTCCTGAGGGGACCCCAGGACCCCTCTGAGAGGATCAGTGATGTGTTTGGGGTCCCCCCTCCTGCCGGGGTGGTGTTTAGGGGCGCTGAGGGTACAGCTGCATCGCGGCTCTGAGATGAGCCCGGCGCATCCACAGCCCCAGCCACACCAAAGGGCACTCGGGGGTCTCCGTCCTCCCCGGCTCTGAGGGTCCCGGGGGGGCTGCAAAGGCATCTCAGCGCTGAAGTGCGGCTGGAATGTCCCCGAGCAATATTCCCCCCCCGCCCTGGGGACACCTTAAAAAGCATCGGAGGGAGGGGTCACTTCCCCAGCAGCTCCTCGGCTCCGGATGTCCCCAACTTGTCCCATCTCCAATATCCTCTCCCATTGCAGGGCGCCGCAGCCCCCACGCCCCCTCCCCTGCTCCGGGAAGCGCCGTTTTGGGGTGACCCCAGCTGCGGGTGGGCTTGATCCTAATGGAGACCCGGGGAGAGCAGCGGCGAGGGGGGCGGGCGGCCGAGTCTCCCTGGGACGTGAAAATCGTTGCGAGTGATTAGAGCTGTTCCTGTAACGAGCAGAGCAATTAACGGCGCCTCGGGAGCCGCTAATGTGTGCTGGGGGTGGGGGGCAGCTGGGCGAGGGGCCCATGGGCTGAGCTGCCTGGCCGGGGGTCCCGGGGTCGGGGGAACGCGTGGGGGTGAGGGGAGATGGTCAGGAGTCCGGAGTTAATTGTGATGTGTGGGATGATCCCAGGATTTGGGGCGATGTGTGCTCGGGGATCCTGGGATGCAGGGGGGCACACGGCCAGGGATCCTGGGGCGAGGGGGTGACTCGTGCCCGCAGTCCTGGCACGTGCCCAGGATCCTAAAATGTGGAGATGCTGCGTGCCCGGGATGCAGGGACACCGTGCCCGGAATGGGGGGGATGTGCACCTGAGATTGGGGGATGCAGGGATGATGTCCCTGGGATGCAGGGAGGATGTGCCAGGGACGTTGGGATGCAGGGATGGTGTACCAGGGACGTTGGGATGCTGTGCCCAGGGTGCTGGGATGCAGGGTTGATGTGTCCCTGGGATACAGGGATGATGTTCTGGGATGCAGGGAGGATGTGCCAGGGATGTTTGGAGGCAGGGATGATGTCCCTGGGATGTAGGGAGGATGCCCTGGGATGCAGGGAGGATGCCCTGGGGTGTTGGGATGCAGGGATGGTGTACCAGGGACATTGGGTTGCTGTGGCCAGAGATGTTTGGATGCAGGGAGGATGCCTTGGGATGCAGGGATGCTGTGCCAGGGATGTTGGGATGCAGGAATGATATCCTGGGATATTGGGATGCTGTCCTGGGATGCAGAGACCATGTGACCATGGGATGCAGGAATGACATCCTGGGATGCAGAGATGCTGTGCCCGGGTGTTGGGATGCAGGGATGCCGTGCCCGGGGTGCTGGGCACCAACACCGGGCTCTGCTCTGCTGCCAGCAGCCGCTGCCCTGAAGCCAAAGCACACCCTGGTCCCCACATGCCCTCACCACGGAGCAGCTGCCACTTGCTCAGGGGGTCCCCTCGCTTGCCCCAGCCCTGGGGGACAGCCCGGGTCAGGCCCTGCACCCATGGGTGCCACAGAGCCCTGGGGAAGGGGACACCCTGCAGCACCAGCACCCCGCTGAGGGGCTGCCCCAGGATGTCCCCACAGACCCCTCCCCATCCAGGGCTCTGTGAGAGCAGTGCCGGCGGTGCTGCTCTGCCAAAACCCTCTGCTTTCCGGACAGAGGAGAAAAAAAAAAAAAAAAAAAAAAATAATTAAGGGGATTTTTTTTTATTTTTTTCCCTTTTCCGTAGTTGACTCTACGTCCAAACTTCCTGAGAGCAGCTCCAGCCCTCCCTCCGCTTCCGACGGCCGCGCTGCGCCATCCCGGCCGGCCGGGCCAGCCCCGTGGCGGGGCCGCTGCGCCCTGACCCTGCCTGTCCCCGCGGCCCCCGGCCAGGTGAGTGCCACCGTCCCCTCCCGGGGCACCTGGGGCTGCCTTGGGCGGGTGGCACCGTCCCCTGCTGGGCGCTGTGGGAGGGGGACAGGCCGGTCACTGCGTGCCAGCGCCCCGGGGTGGGGCACGGGATGGTGCAGGTTCCAAGGTGAGGGGACGCTGGTGGCTTGGGGACAGCGGGTGGGGCGTGGGGCAGTGCTGCGACACCCCAAAGCTGCCCCTGGCCTGCAGCCGTGCCCCCCTCGCCCCCGCCCAGCCCCATCCCTGCGGGTCCGCCGAGGAAGCGCGTCAGGCCCCGCGCTGCGGCAGAGGAAGCGCCGGGGCACAGATAGCGGCCGTGGGGCGGCCACCGCCGCGTCCCCCGCAGGGACAGGGCACGGCAGCTCCCCTGCCCGCAGCCCGCACGCTCCTTTCAGCCCCATCACCCTGGGATGCTCCTCATCCCACCCGCGGGGCTCTTAGAGATGTCAGTGGGGAGGGGAGCGCTGGGTCTGGGGGTGTCTCTTGGTGTTTTGGGGGGGCTGAGCCCCGCGGTGAGGGGCAGATGGGACGTGCCGGCACGTTTTGGTGACTCCTTGCTTTTCCTGCCAGCATCTCCCCGTGGTTCCTGTTTTTCCCAGCAATGCTGGGACCCCCCTGGTCCCCCCACGTTGCTGGAAGAGGGGGATGAGGCTGGGGATGAGCTCGGGGCTCCCCTGGCCCTCCACGGGAGGGAATTTTGGCAGCGGATGAGCGATTAATTCCTCACTGCCGGGAGTTGAAGGGAAATGGGGGGGAACTTTCCCACTGCCAGTTTTTCCACCCCAAACCGGATGCTCTGGCCCCAAAACGCAGCGCGGGCTCTGCTGAGGGGGAGGATGAGCCCAGCGAGCGCCTTTGGGGTGTCCTATGGCCGGAGCCGCGAGGAAGCCCCGGCAAATCCAGCTGTGCTGACCAGGAAACCTCTGTTTCCTCCTTGGCACACGGCAGTCCTGCCCCGAAACGCTCATCCCGGTAAACAGCGCTCCCGGCACGGCGGGCCCGGGGCTCGCCCGCCCTCCCAGCCCGGCCCCCGGCTGGAATCGCTCCCAGAGCCGCCCCGGCAGAGCCGGACCCTCTCTGGGTTGAGCAAGAAGCTGCTGGATCCAGGAAAGTCAGCTGGGAATAGACACAGAGCGAGTTGAAGTGGGGCCACGCGGCGCCGTGCCAGGGGCGGGAGGCGCCGTGCCCGGCCCCACCCTGGCACCCCGGGCTCCCCCCTTAGCGTGGGGTCCCCAGGAGAGCTCGGGGTGATGCTCCAGATGTGCCCTGGGCTGTCTCAGGATGCTGGGATGAAGCTGGTGGGGCCACCCAGGCTGCTGAGCGGCCGTGCCTCAGTTTCCCCTTGGCACAGGCCGTTGCTCAGGGAGCAGCGGGGCCGGGGCTGGTTTTGGGGCTGGAGGAATGCAAAGCCAGCCCTGCAGGGAGGTCGGATGCGGAGCTGGGGCCGGGGGCGGTGGGTGGGGAGCGGGAATGTGCGGAGGCAGGGGTGCAGCCGTGGTCTGTCCGTGCAGGATGCTGCTGCG